GCAATGAAATCATTTTCCCTAAATGTCACCACAGAGAAGCTCCATTGTGCATCATTTTCAACTGCTAGTGAAATCTCTCTAATACACAGGAGTATGTACACAATGGTGGTCATTCTTAACAAATAAATAGCTGGTTACCAGTCTAGCTGCCCAAGTAATGCTTATAAGTTGACATTCAACCCAAAATCTGCTGGAGAACTATATGCAGAAGGAGATTAAGGTCTTAATCTTTAAAATCTTTCTAAAATAATTTTAGAAAATTTATTTAAAATCAACCTTTTCATTGACTGGTGAAACAAATCACTTGAATTCCTATTCCCATGTCTACTTAGTACCAAAATCCACATGAAAACAGCAAAACTCACGTATACACATTGTATATTGGACCAAGCACAATTATCAAACTATTTTGTATTTTATAACATTTGCTTCCTAAGAAAATAGAACTTAAAAAAAAAGTGTTGTGTTAGTAAAGCATTTATGGATTATATAAGAAAGCTGGCATTAGCAGTCCCAATCTTTTCCATAAAAGGGAAGAAAAATGAAATAATTGGCAAGAAACATATTAAAATTATTGATACCATTGCAAATTTAATGGGCAGAAAAATTATTTCATACTGTATCTTTTCAGACATGAGCCTCATTTTGACATTTACATTTTAGACAAATGCAAACTCTGCAATTTTTGAAATCAATATTTTATATCCACTTCTGACAGCATTCTCCTCTCTTTTGAAAACATGGCAAGAGATATTGTTTCTACACTGGGATCTCTGTGAACTAGGCAGTATGCCTGTTGACACTTGGCATTCATTTACATAAAATCACACTTAAAAAAGTTAAATTATCACTGAGCATTCATAGCCTTCAAGATACCTTTTCAGAAAAATCTTTGTTTAGAAGTTTAAATTCATTTTATAAATGTATATGTATTTTTCTAACTGTCTGATTACAGAACACAAAGAAACTATGGTTTTGAATCTCACATTAGCAGATGGTGGACAGATGGTTTAAATTAATATTAATTTTGGAAAACTTAGCTTAAATTGTTTATACTGAAGATTAAAAGTTGGAAAGCCAGCTAAAATCTCTGGGGTTATTGGTATTTTCAAACTATCTTGAAAAGTAAAATCCAGAAAACCAAACTAGTTCTATGGTGATCCACATCTTCTTCAGAAAGATTGAAGTTTGAAGGCAAGAAGGAAATCTTCTCTTAGGGAAGACAGCTAAATTTGGAACAAGGAAGAAAATGTGTAGATCCTAGAGTGAAATGTTACTTTAAACTTCTTAGTGATGGTCCTTTAAAAGATTGTATCACATGCTTGGGGCATGGTCAACTGGTACTATGCCAGATACTGACATAAGGATCTGATTTTGAAGTCTCTGCACTAATGTAAAAGCCAGGTGTGGAAGGGTGTGTCTGTAACTGTATGGTGACAAGTGGATTTCCTGGAGCTCACTGGCCAGCCAGCCTAGTTGAATTGATGAGCCCTAGGTTGAATGAGAGATCTTGTCACACACACACACACACACACACACACACACACACACACAGACACACACACACACAAAAAAAAAAGGATGGGGTGTGATTGATGAAAACAGCTGGTATTTATTTCTGTCTTCAATGTGTATGTGTACTTGTACATATACATGCACACACCTACACAAATGTACCTAACATACACAGACAAACATACACACACAATGGGAGACAACAAGAAGAAAGAAAGAAAAAAGGAAAGGAAAGGAAAAGAAAAGAAAAAAAAAGAAGAGAGAAGAAAACTTCCTGGAAGGTCACCAACCAATCAACCTGGGGTACATAGCAAAATGGCAGAAGCAACAAGGTGAAAGGTGAGAACCACTGTGGCACAGGCACACAACCTGTGCACCACATAGCAAACAACCAACCACCCAACCAACCAGCCAACCAGCCATCCAACCAACCAGTCAACCAGCCACCCAACCAACCAGCCAACCAGCCACCCAACCAACCAGCCAACCAGCCACCCAACCAACCAGCCAACCAATATTTTACATATGTTTGCTGACGTGAACCAATTATTTCACATTCATCATTCATACTTGTTTGTTTATTTGTTTGTTTTGTTCTGTTTTTCGAGACTGATTTTCTCTGTGTAGCCTTGGATGTCCTGTATTCGAATTGTAGCCCTGGCTGGTCTTAAACTCATAGAGCTCCGCCTGACTCTGCCTCTCTGAGTGCTGGAATTACAGGCATGTGCAACAGTGTCTGACTCACCATTTATAATTTTATTTGAAATGAGCCTGATATTTTCTTTTCATAGGGGGAAGGTAAAGAGGGAGGGAGGATAAAAGGAGAGAGTATGTGAAGAAAGAAAGAAAATGCTAAGAATGTATTTCTAATACATTCCAGCTCCTACTTCAAAAGGCCAGTTGTAATAGCTAATATTGTCTGGGCTGGATACACTTTTTAATTTCTCTTTAAATGTAGGTTTAGATAAATGTAGAAAATTGGTGAAAAATTGAAAATATTTTCCAAAGATTATTATTTACAAAGTGAACCTTCTGTATACTCTTAGAATTTTATATAAGAATTGTTTTTAAAAATTACTTTTAAAATGCTGTTAATATTTAACAAAACCCATTCATTTGAGAAGAAAATGCATGAATCATCACCTGTGAAAATACTCAGTTTTGCCTAAAATTATGTCTTTTGAAAAATGAGAAAATTGACTCCCTCGCTCCAATTATTTGTCAAACAGATGCTGACAATTTTAATTAAGGTATAGTGGTAAATGAAATGATTTAAAATGCCAGAATCTAATGTGGTCCTTTTTGCTGTCCATGAGACAAAACAAAGAATGAATGAAAAGAAAACTCTCACTTATAGAAAGCAGTTTTAGTATTCAAATAGAAGTAGCAATTCCAGAGTTGCCCTCATTTCTCTGTTGCCTTGCCCTGTTAAATGAATCAAGAAAAAATGAAGTGGATAAAATTCACTTTAAGAAAAATATGAATCATGGCATGCATACTCATATATATATGTATGTATTTCTAAATTTGTATTTAAGCTGTATTTTTAAATACTTAAGCTATATTTTTAAAATTGACAAAAAAACCCACATTAATCCTGTCTCTATGATTTGGTTGGTAATGATTTCAGATCTTTATCTAAAATATCTTGTACCAAATTTATTAATGTTTTCAATGCATTTGGAATTACCATAAATCACAAGTTTTTTATCTAAGCTACAAGCGTGCACACACACACACACAGATAGAGAGATAGACAGAGACAGAGACTGGAGTACAGACAGTAATAGCTAAACATAAACACTGCAGAATTATGCAAATGTAATGTTTGTAATATGTGGTTTAGAACTGGAAGGCTTATTGGTTTCCCGTATTGTTTCCTGCCAGTATAACATTTCTATTTTCTTTTAAGATTTACTTGTCTGCAAATTTCATGATTTCCTTTTTTTTTAATTCTGAGTAGTATTCCATTGTGTAAATGTATCACAATTTATCCATTTCTCAGTTAACAGACATCTAGGTTTTTTCCAGATTCTGGCTATTACGAACAAAGCTGCTATGTAACCCAGAAGCAGAAAGACAATCATGGTATACACTTACTTATAAGTGGATAATTAGCCATATAATATAGCATAAACATACTAAAATCTATAGTCCTAAAGAAGCTAAACAACAAGGAGGATCCTAGGGAAGAGGCTGAAACCTCATTCAGAAGAACAAACAAGATAGACATCAGAAGTAGGAGAAGACAGGAAACAGTGCAGGAGCCTTCCAAAGAGGCCCCCTGAAAACCTCTACCCAATAAAGGAATCAAAGCAGACGCTGAGACTCATAGAGAAAACTTTGGGCAGAGTGCAGGAATCTTATGGAAGAAGGGGGAGATAGAAAGACTAGGAGGGGACAGGAGCTCAACAAGGAGACCAACAGAACCTAAAAACCTGGGCCAGGGGGGTCCTGCAGAGAACAACGTATGTGCGAACCAAGGTCCATCCAGGGAGAGGACTTAGACCCCTTTCACATAAGCTGCTCATTTTCCAAGTGGGTTTCTTAGTAATGGGATCAGGGGTTGTCTTTGATATGAACTCAGTGGCTGGCTCTTTGATCACCTCTCTCTGGAGAGGGCTGCCTTGCCAGGCCACAGAGGAAGATGAGCCTTGATGAGATCTGATAGGCTAGGGTCAGATAGACAGGGAGGAGGACCTCACCTATCAGGGGACAAGGGGAGGAGCATAGGGGAAGACTAAGGAAGGTGGGTGGGACTGGGGGGAGATGATGGGAGAGGGCTGCAGCAGGAATACAAAGTAAATACTAATAAAAGCAACAAATAAAAATTTAAAAGATTTGTTTATGTATTTTATGTATATGAGTGCTTTGCCTTCATGTACACCAGAAGAGAGCATCAGATCCCATTATAAATGATTATGAGCTGCCATATGGTTGCTGGGAGTTGAACTTACGACCTCTGGAAGAGCAGCCAGTACCCTTACTAGCTGAGCCATCTTTCCAGTCTGCAATATGATATTTTTAATCAGATAAAGTCTTAAAACAGTACGGCAATAATAATAATAATAATAATAATAATAATAATAATAATAATAATAATAATAAAACAGCGTTGAGCAAGGAACCAGGGAACTAACTCTTTGTCAGGGCTTTGTGTCTCCCAGCTGATGGATGCAAGGGTTTAGATAGGAACTCTGAAGTTTTTGCCAGATTTGAGAGATAGGCCACAGTGAGCAGTGAAGTTTAGAACTTCAAGAAATTTACCTTCAAGCTTCCAAGGATTTTTCACATCATCTTTTATTTTTAAAGGGGACAGAGTAAGCTTTTGAGTGGAATGGGTTTTTTGTTATATTTGCTTAATAGAACTGTTAACATCTTAAAGTATCTGTAATTCGGATTTAAATATTTTCAGACTTTAGGTATGTGTTCTGTTTTGTTTTGCTATCAAGTAACTACACTATTTTTTTTTTTTCTGTTTTCAGGGAAGTATATAACTTTTGTTCTGAACCCCTTTCAGTACCAGTTCATAATTAAAAACCCCAAACAACTAAGTTTTGGGAAGTTTAGCAGACGATTATCAGCTAAAGCCTTTTCTGTCAAGAGGCTGCTAACTGACGATGACCTTAACGACGACATTCACAAAGGCTATCTGCTTTTACAAGGCAAATCTCTGGACAGTCTTCTGGAAATCATGATCCAAGAACTAAAGGAAATATTCGAGCCTCTACTGCTGAAAACCACAGATTGGAATACAGCAAGAATATTTTCTTTCTGTAGCTCACTGGTATTTGAAATCACATTTACAACTCTATATGGAAAAATTCTTGCTGATAACAGGAAACAAATTATCAGTGAGCTAAGAGATGACTTTTTAAAATATGATGATATGTTCCTAAACTTAATATCTGACATACCCATTCAGCTTCTAAGAAATGAGGAATCTATGCAGAAGAAAATTATAAAATGTCTCACATCAGAAAAACTAGCCCAGATGCAAGGACGGTCTGAAATTGTTCAGAAGAGGCAAGATATGCTGGAAAAATACTATAGGTGTGAAGACTTTGAAATAGGAGGTAAGAAAGTTCTGAATAATCACTCACTAAAATAAAATAATTTACAGAAGACCTTTGAGATAAAAAGATAAAATGACGACCTTGAAAATTTTTATGCTTTTTCTAATTGGCTAATGATAAAATGTTTTACTCTGAAACAACCCTCTGTGATAATTGATTTTTTTTTTTTTTTTTTTTTGCTGAGGTGGCAAAACAAGATATTTAATGATGATAATGAGAAAGAGTATAACTAAGTGGCATTTACTCCTTTTATCTCATCCCCCACCTTCCTGCCCACCCCCCAACATGCATTACATTTTAAACTATTCTCATTAAGTAGAAAATTAGACTTCAGAAGCCTATTGGTTCTCATTAGCATGCACTGATCCTTGGCTGGGTCCGTGTCCTAACATCTTTTAATTAGCACACTGCAAATCTAATCAGTGTAATAAATGCTATTAATCTTCCTTTTCACTTATTTTCTCCCAGCACATCATCTTGGCTTTCTCTGGGCCTCTACGGCAAACACCATTCCAGCTATGTTCTGGGCAATGTATTATATTCTTCAGCAACCAGAAACTATGGAAGCGCTGCGTGATGAAATTGACAGCTTTCTGCAGTCAACAGGTCAAAAGAAAGGGCCTGGACTTTCCCTCCACTTCACCAGAGAACAATTGGACAGCTTGGTCTGCCTGGGTAATTTATTTTTATCTGTTATTAAGAGAAGAAGGTAGCTCTCTGCAAACTCAGTTTATCACTCATTGCTGTTTACCAAGAGGTGGAGGACACAGCTGCCTAATTGACATAATAACACCCATTTACATCAATTATAAATTATGTAGTTTATAGCTGTAGATACTCTCACTGCATGTAAACATTAAGGCCTAGCTAATTAACTATGCAAGGTATGCAAAGAGATAAACCAAAGCTTTTGCAATTATTTGAGGGGAAAAGTATGTATGCCTATTAAGTCATTTGATTTTGAGCATCTGTTAGCCTGCTGATGCCTCCCAAACACTGCTGTCCCGTCTTGACAAGGAAAGGATTTGATAGCTGAACAAGCAAGTGTTTCAGAGAGGCAACGTGCATGCGAAAAGTCCTTACTCTTTCTTAAAACGGTGCATGCATTTCAAGCACAGATCAAAGTGTTTTATATATACATATATAGGTTATATATATTTTTTATTTATATATATATTTATATATGTATAGTGTGTGGTATATAGTTCATATGACTGTAATTAAAATAATTTTTATTGCAGGTTAATGATTTAAACACTCAAAAGGAGCAAAGGAAAGAAAAAAAGAAAAGATTGGAAAGAGGAATAGAGGGAGGGGTGTGAGGAACCAGGGAAATAGGAGAAAACAAAATAGCTACAATCTGTTTCTTTTAAGCATTGATAGTTTTAAAAATGTTCACTGATTTAAGAAATAAAAGTGAACTCAATGTCAAGAATATTTATGGCCTATACTAGTTGGTTAGTTTTGCTTACCATCCCTTTTTCCTTTTGTTCTTAACTTGTGAGCCTTACACCTGGCATGAACCTTTCCTTTATTTCCACTTACTGGGGTTGTGCAGGATGCTTGCTACCATTATGTAAGGGACTCATACCCATAAAGTTAAAATCTGTACCAATACCTGTCAATTCCCTCTGAATTCATGTCACCATCCTATGGTATGTTTGAAGATATACTTTCATTTTCTTTCAATAAATGAATTTTTATATGTTTTGCATTTTCTCAGCTATTTGACTTAATAAGAATAATATATTAGCCTGTGTTAGACTCAAGTTTTTATTCATTAAACATAGTCCCCCTCTCTCAGCAGATTCTGAGATAGTAGGTCCTAAAAATCTTGATCATAGTTGACCGCTTCTTGGCATTAATAAGATTGTCTCAAGTGTTGCAGAGGTGGCTCCTGGTGGCCAGGCCGAGACCTACCACAGAAGCAACAGCAGCCACTGTGATTTATGTGTAGTCAGTTATGAAAAGTGTATCACCTATATTGTGTGTTATCAAAACAATTACATGTTTGGAGAAAGAAAATACTTCAGACATTATATAAATGCTAATATTCTTGCTTTTTGGCAGAACGCTTAGGAAACTAATACACAAAATTTACGTAAAATACAGGTAGTTGCCTGTACTTTCAATAAGTAGTAGCTTCTGAGTTGATTTAGTTTCTATGGAGATCTAGGTCTCATTTTTCATATATGCAGGTAATTAACCCTTTCATTTTAAGAGTGAGATGATCAATAAATAATGCAAATGAACTCCAAAAGAGTATGTTTGTATTCTGTACATAATTATTACTCTTAACAATTTGCTTGAAATTCATCACCTCTCTGTTTATAGCTAGCAGCTGTTTGTCATTGAAATAAAAGATATTTTTAAAGTGCAGTGTTAAGAAAGAAATGTTGAGATTTATTTGACCAGAAGAGATGAGAAATTCTGAAGTTGTAATTTAGGTCCGTGTAAGTCCACAGCTAGACTTACGGACACTTATCCTTGGAGCCCTCATAAATTTGCAGCTTTCCCATGCTCACCCAATGAAAGGAAACAACAAATCTTTATTTTATTCTACTATAATACATTGCATTCCCTTCCTCTACTCCTCACAGTTCCCCTCAACCTCCCCTCTTCCCCAGATCCACTCTTTCTCTATTTCCCTTTAAGAAAAACAGCAGACATCCCAGGGGTATGAACCAAATATGGTATAACAAGGAACGAAACTAGGCACAAACCCTCATATCAAGGCTGCATGAGACAACCCACTAGTAGGAAAATAGCCCCACAAGCAGGCACAAGAGTCTGAGATACCCCGACTTCTCCTGTTAGGAGTCACACAAAACCACCAAGCTAAACAACCACAGCATGAGCCTTACTTAGCTGATTCTGTGGGCAGTGTTTTCCCAGTGTCCTTTATTCCTCTGGTTCCTAAAATTCTTCTTTCTTCTCTTCCATGGGGGTTCCCTGAGTTCAAAAGACAGGGACCTAACAGAGATCTCCAATTTGGGCTCTGTCTTTCTGCCTAATGTGAGAAACAACAAAATCTTAACCTGTGCCAAGGCCATGCCTTCAATAGCCAGCGAGGTTCCCTGAAGCCCAGGTGACCAGAAATGGTCAGTGTAATTTTTTGCAAGAACTCATGCTAGCGGTCATTACTTTTTGGAAAAGGGTATATATATTTTTTTTCTCAAGAGATAAAGGTATAGTCAGATTGGAGCAAACTTTGATGGGTCAATGACACACAAAGTAACCTCTCCATTTCAAACAAGAGTCTCCCTATGTCAGAAGAACATAAGGTGGAATGACAAGGCAAGACACACATGGCTAAGTTCCTCCATTTATGGTATGAAATGAATGCGTTCCTTCCCTTTTTGTGTTCTTAAAGAAAGAGTTCTCTGTGTTCTGAACACAGTTTATTTTTAAATTGTATTTTGAATTTTTATCATTATTAGAAAAAAATGTAATTAAATAAGTGTTTTTGTTTGTTTGTTTGTTTGGCCTAGGAAGGAAAGCTTGACACTAGTGCAGAAAAAGGTACTCTTTTTTATGCAGAGGCTTTGCTTATGAGTGTACCATTTAAAAAACCGTGCAGAGAAGGGACGCTAGGAAGGCAAGGGAAGATGTTATGGGCAACCTGCTTCAAGACATTGTAAAAGATTTGAGAGTTTTTCTTTAAAACCATTTAACTTGTCTTTTACACAATTAAAATACAATATATTTTGCATATTCATATCTCGTTAAAGATTCTGCTTATTATAAACTCACTAAAACTATTCATTTAGTGATTATTCATTTACTAGGTATTTAATCTCTATATGTAAGTTGAATAAAAATTTATAAATATAACATAGGATTATTAAGAAAAATATCAATGCAAAGAAAGATAAGAGTTCACTACTGAAAGTTTGACAAACTGATAGAAAATTATCTTAATAAAAACTACCTACAATTTACATAAATAAAGAACATGAATATGTTAATACAGAAGACTCAATAAGTGTTATCTAGTGATGTCTTCAAAATATTTGACCTGCATGGTATCCCTACAAACTTTATGCTGTTTTCTTCCTTGTCTAATATGAATCAATCAACCTGGAATCATATTAAAATCTGACTTGCTCCTTGAGGATCCTTATTCTATGCATTACCACCCAAAAAAAGTAAACATAACTCCCATTTAAAACATAAGACAAATGTAACTCCAAACAGCTCAGGAAAACTGCAGGTACCTGATGTTGTTCAATGGCATATCATGAAAAAGAGCAAGTGCTGGACATTTTGAGAGAGAGTAGAATAAAAACAAAGTGCTATGAAGCTGAAATTAGATAAATTCTGCCGTGTTTTTTTTTTAAGAGCTCATAGTGCTTACCCACTGAAATTATACTAAATAATTTTAAGCCTATTTGTTTTGTCCTTAATTTCCAATCAGTTTATACGGTCCCTGAAATACTTGTAGATAGGCACAAATTTAAAAATAATTTAGTTAGCTACATGTTCTTTTTTGTTAGAATAGAATGTTTTTATAATAGCTAAAAACAAGGTAAAATACTTATTGTGTTTCTCAAATGCTTAGAGGGTTCTATAAACTGTAAAATATTCTTGGATGTATAAATTCCCCACTTGGGATACTATAGTTACTTGTTTACTGCTAGTTGTTTATTTACCTTCAAGATTATTAATATTTGTTTATTTTTACCTTTTCTTTCTTTCCTTTTATTGAAAATAGTTTTTTCCTCACATAATATATTCTGATTACTGTTTCTCCTCCCTCTACTCCTCCTAGTTCCCACCCAATTTCCCTCCTATGTAGATACAATCTCTTTGTGTCTGTCATTAGAAAACAAAGAGGCTTCTAAGGAATAATGATAAAATAAAATAATCAAATAAGATAAAGCAAAGACTAACACAGTGAACAAAACAAACACCCCCCCCGCCCAAAAAAGAAAAGCAGAAGAACTCAAGAGAAGACACAAGAAAAAGAGACCCACGTGTTCATTGCTTAAGAATCCCAGTAAAAACACCCCAATCAATTGAAAGTCATAATATACATGCAAGGACATGATAGAGCCCATGCAGAGCCTGGCATCCTGCCTCAGTCTCTGTGACATCATATCTTTGCCGACCCTACTGATTTAGAGGCCCTAGATTTCTTGGTGTCCTCAATTTCCTCTGCCTCCTATAATCTTCTTCTGCTTCCTCTTCTCCAGGGTTCCTTGATCTCTACCTAGAGGGATTTGATAGAGCCCTGCCATTTAGTACTGTTTTAAGGTCTCTCTTTCTCTGAATAATACCAGGCAGTGAATCTCTGTGTTTGTTCCCTTTTGCTTACAGGAGGAAATTTCTCTGATGATGGCTGAGCAAGGCACTTATCTATAAGAATAGCAAAATGTCACTAAGAGTCATTTCATTGTTACATTTGTTGTTATTGTTGTTTACTTTTTTGCTTTTGCTTTTTTTTTTTTCTTTTCTTTTCAAGACAGGGTTTCTTACTTTATAGACCAGGCTAGCCTCGAACTCACAGAGATCCATCTGCCTCCGCCTCCCTGAGTGGGGCGGTTACAGCTGGCTGTTCTATACTTTACTATTTTCTCATACAATACATCCCAACCACAGCTTCCCCTCTTTCTCCTCCTCCCAATCCATGACGCTGTTTCCCCTCTTCCTGAGATCCACTCCTCTATTTTCCT